CTAAAAATAAAAACTAAAAAAAAAAAATTGTAATTTCTGTCAGATGCAACAAAGGCAGCTTTAGTTTTACAGTTAACTATATACAAAAATAACAATGACAAACTCACAACACGTCAATAACAAACATTACAGAAACTAATTATCACAACTCCTGCTGTTATAAATCACAGTTGGTAACAGAGGCTCTGATAAGATACTAAAATAAGTGGGGAAAAAATAACTTAAATTAATAAGAGACATGTTAGGGGGCTACAAATTAAAAATCTTCCATTAACTGATACAATTTTATTGCATTTAGAATCTGCATCTTTTTCAGACATCTTTTAAACAAACAGTTTGTTTTTGAGAGCAGAGATTGAGGGGGAGCGTTTTGCATAACGGCATTTATGGATATAATATTTTGTTACAATAATTAGAACATTGACTAAAAATTCCAGATTTTTTTCTTTAATGGATAAACCGAATTAAATGTTTTGTAAGGAAACAAAATCCAAATTTATTGTCTTAGAAGACAGAAAGTTACGAAGTTGATCCCATAAGTTTAACACTTCTTTACATTCTTAAACCAAATGTTTAGTTGTTTCCAACTGAGTTGTGCAAAAACCACAATTCTCAACATGAAAATTAAATCTCTCTCTTAAGCACTCATTTGAAGGATATGTGTTTATTATTTAAAATGTAATTCTTTATGTTTGGGAGGAATTGGGAATTTTAAATAATTTGTCCTAATTTTGACTAACCTAGATTTGTTAAAATCTATGATAGAGCTGTGTTTATGTTACTTATTGAATACTGGTTCAAAAACCTGTTGCAGCATTAATTACCTTTAATGTCCACATACTCAGTTTGAATCTTGTGGAGTCTTGGAATAGAGAAATTAGTTAAACTGTTCTGACAGAATGAGGACATCAGGGATGCTTCGTAGTACTTCCTTATAATTTGTTAGTGAACAGTCAGTTCCATATTTCCTGTTAAATTCCTCCAAACTGAGAATTTCACCATTTCCATCCAGTAAATGAGTAACTGACCAGATTTGTTCATTCCACCAGTCTTTCATGAATATAGATATTCTACCACATAGAATGGCTCTGCTGTTCCACAGTGGGACTTTATGGGGCTGAAGTTGTTTAACATGAACCTCCACTGTAACAAAACCTGTTGATGGAAAGCAGAGAGCTGCAGGGAGTTTAGATAATTCAGAATCAAAACCTCCAACCTTTTGAAATACGATGGAACAACAAACCAAATTAGATCACCGTGTTTTAAAAGGGACTGAAGCCATCTCATTTTTAAAGTGCCATTCGTGATTTCAAAATCGATTGCCTTCATACCACCTTCCTCATAATGTTTTAGCCAATCTCTTTCTGATGTAATGGTGTTTGTTTTTCCAAATGAAGTTAAAATTAATTCTGTTAATCTGTTTTATGAGATTAGGAGGGACGGCTAAGGAATATGCAGGAAACGTCAGCCTGGATAAGGATTCAGTTTTTGTTAATAATGTTAACAGTGTCAAGTCTCTGCAGACAATTGTTTAAGGTTCTGCCACATTTATCAATGTTGTCTTGTAATTTTTTTCTTACGCTAGTAGCTTGACATTTAGTAATCCACATTCCTAAATACTTAATTTCATTTTTAACTGGAATATTGAAAATGGAAGAATCAGAACAGTTATGGATACTTATAATTTCACATTTATTAATATTTAGCTGCAGCCCTGAGGCTTGAGAGAACAACTCTGTTTCCCTTAGAGCTCGAGGAATTTGTTGTTTATCTGTAAGGAATTGGGTGTATCATCTGTGAATTGGCTAATGATTATTTTCTGGTTATTTATTTCCAAACCTTCTATATTAGAGTTATTAATTGTTATTGCTAGTAATTCCGCGACTATAATAAATAATAGAGGCGAAATACTGCAACCTTGTCTGATTCCTCTTTCTACTTTGAATCTGTGGCCTGAGGCAGAGACACACAGATGTTAATGTTGGTGTTTAACATGGTGATCATACTAAGAAAACTATTTCCAAGACCAAAATGTCTCAAAGTGTTAACAATAAATTGATGTTCCACAGAATCAAATGCTTTGTGGAAATCTAAAAACAACATAAAACCATCATTTCTTACTAAGTGACTATAATCAATCAGGTCCAGAACCAGGTGGATGTTGGTATGGATGGATCTGCCTTTTCCAGAGCTACTTTCCCCAGATTTGAAGGATGAGTCCGGTGAATCCTTTACGGCCCACCATATCCCATGATTCATTGCGGGTCCCAACCGGACATTCAGGCAGAGCGACCAATTATTTTGCTATATTACACTTTAAATGACACATTAGGATTTTGTACAACGTTTTTAGGCGTGAATATAAACTTGTGTAAGTCTCAAATATCTGCTCGGTTCACCAAAACATAATCTGCTCTGACCTTTCCGGACCCGTCTGCTCCGCTGCCCTCCAGCCGTCCGCCGGCCGGGCGCTGCAGGTCCGGTGTTACGCCCGACTCCCGGCACATTGCTATAAAACTCCCGCCAGCTTTCCCCACTGGGTGGGAGTTAAACACCGACATTATTCAGACAGGTAATATTTAGTTGTAAAATGTTTGGTTTACTAAAGTATTTCCTTTATTCCTGAGCAAATCGGTTTCAAGTTAAGATTCAAGTTAAGCCTTCAAACATAATAGGTTTATTTAACTGTAATGGCTTATCCGAGATTTGGAGAGTATTATATTTGAAAATGAATAATTTGCTTATATTTATTCTTGGTAGTAATGTGCAACACACATTTGAACATTTTAGAATCAAACTAACAGATTTCTGTTACTGTGGAGCAGCCTTTACTAGAAAAGCTGAATAACAGAAATCAGGAGTTATGACTGAAAACAAACTTCGGCTCCGTTGTTTTGTTTTCAGTTGGAACCAATCGATGGGATCGATTCCTGTACAGTCGACGTGTTGTGAATCGCCGTAGCAACCCGGTTCAGACAACTGTTGTTCCTGCAACAGAACCGGGTTTACAGGTCCTGAACCTGCTCCGTTTCTCCTCACAGGTCGGCAGCAGGGATCCAACTGAGTCCACATGGTGGTACCGGGTACAGTGCTGGTTCTGGAGATGAAACCGACCCTGGAGCTTCTGAAAGAACCGGCCTAGTTTAAGTTTTGCTCATTTAAACCAGTGATGTTAGAGCGGGACCACCAGAACCGTTTCCAACCCAACCAGAACCTTTTGTCTTGGACCTCATTTGTTCCAGATGAAGGTTCGGTCCAACTTCACTTGGGTTTCTGGCAGAACCTCAGCCAGAAACCCAGTTCTGACCCGGTTCTGACCCACTGTGAACATAATCTAGAAACGATCAACAGAAGTTTAAACCTGGAGAATCGGATCCAGATTCAAATGTGGAAATGTTTTTATTGTCATCCTGAGATACTTGATTAACTGAGCAGAAGATTTTAGACCAGAATAAATGTCTTCAAAATAAAAACTTCATTTTAATATCATGTGTCCTAGTCAAAGTCTGAGGTGAAATAAAGTTTAGAAACACAAAGAACTTTGTTTCCTTTATTAGAAAAGTTGAGTTTTACAGGACATTTACAGGAGAAGGGGATGGAGGGGGGCTCCGGTCGGTGGGGGGGGCTCCACTCCGGTCGGTGGGGGGGCTCCGCTCCGGTCGGTGGGGGGGCTCCGCTCCGCTCGGCGCTCCGCTCCGGTCGGTGGGGGGGGCTCCGCTCCGCTCGGCGCTCCGCTCCGGTCGGTGGGGGGGGCTCCGCTCCGGTCGGTGGGGGGGCTCCGCTCCGGTCGGTGGGGGGGCGCTTGCGCTGCGCTCCACTCCGCTCAGCGGGAGAACTGCCGGCGGTCGCTCGGCCCTCTGCTGACGTGTTTGAAGATCCGGGACTTCCTGACGTTCTTGGCCTTCTGGTAGCCGAAGCCGCCGCCACCACCGCGCTTCTGCAGCTTCAGGCCTTTGCTGCTGTGAACGTCTGGAGGAGGCAGAGTCAAGGAGGAACCATGGAAACCATAAACACTGATTTGAAATCAGATTTTCTGTTCAGACTGAATTGGTTCAGGATTTAACATTTGGGTGAATTTGGAGCAACAGGTTTTTCTCTCCAATCAGAACAATAAAATCTGATTAAAATCTTTAAAAAAAAAAAAGATCCCAGTTAGAGTTTCTGCTTATTACTACGGCCCACCAGTCCGGTCCGGTTCAACCCAACTCCAGTCCGCTTGCTATAAAGTCTGGTTCAGTTGGTGAGGTGTGGACACTAGTTGACCTCTGACCTCTGGTCCTACAAACTTTGGTCTGGATTCNGTTTGAGTGTGAACGCCAAGTGGACCGGAGACCGCTCCAAAAGCAGGAAGTGGACTACAGTGCAGGGCATTCTGGGTAAATGCAACCAAAGGTAACGTGCTAGCCTAGCGCTAGCAACAGAAATAAAGAGAAATCCTCCAACTGCTAAAATTGACGCTTCCATTTTGTTTTCATCTGGTGAAGAAGGAAGTTGCTCTCAGTGTCTTCAGCGGTTCTTGGTGCAGCGCCCCCACAGGCCAGGAGGGGAAGTCCATTCACACCTCCACAAATGAACCGGACTTTCCCAGGAAGGCGGACCGGAGATGATCAGCTTTATTGAGGTTTTGATTAGTCCTGAGCAGCTAAGAAAAGGATACTGAGGTCAACGTAGGGCGGCACGGTGAATCCAAAGGACAGCGCCACCATGGGAAGGTTCAGGGTACTGACGCTGTAGATCTGCTTCAGAGAGTGAGAGTCGTAGGCCCGGACGTACGACTTGTAGGCCTCCTGGGCCGACTTGTGCAGGTAGTAGTTCTTTTCTATCAGCTTCTCCAGCTGGACGGGACAGAGGCACAACTGGTTCAAACCGGGTCAGAACCGAGAACAAAACAGGTTTGGGTTCTTACCTGAGACTGGATGTCAGAGATCTTACTCCAGGAGAACTCAAACTCGCTCAGGGGGACCTGAAGCAGAGAGAGCAGAGCCAGGGGTCAGCCAGGGGTCAGAGGTTAGTCAGAGGTCATGCTGGGGTCAGAGATCACCTTGGCCTGCTTCAGAAAGCGCAGGAAGCCCAGCTCCTGGGGTCGCAGGATGAGCAGCGCGTGGCCGCGGCCGTCGATGCCTCTGGCGGTTCTGCCGACCCGGTGGATGTACTCCTACAGACGGGGAAAAGACAGAGTTCAGAGGTCAGAGTTCTAGCCACTCGGTGCCGCCCACCCCTCCCGGCGCTGACCTTGGGGTCGTCTGGCGGGTCGTACTGGACGATCCAGTCGACCTCAGGGATGTCGAGGCCGCGCGCTGCCACGTCAGTGCACAGCAGGATGCCGGAGTCGGCGTTGCAGAACTGGAAGAAGGTGGTGGTCCGCTTGGTCTGCTTCTGCTTGCCCTGTAGGGAGAAACGGGCCAGTCAGAACCCAGCGGAACAATCAGCTGGGTCGGTTTGGGTCAGGAGCTCACGTGGATGGCCATGACCGGGAGGTCGATGTAGTTGAGAAGCTCGTAGTGGAACTTGACCGACATGCAGGAGGAGAAGAACACCATCAGCTTCTTCCTGCGGTTCTTCTTCAGGAAGGTGAACAGCAGCAGGAAGCGCTTCTCCGACGGACACACAACGTAGCCCTGCAGGGGTCAGGAGGTCAGCCAGGGGCCAGAGGGGTCAGAGGGGCTCCGTCGGTCAGAGGCCTACCTGCTCCAGGCCGTCCACGGTGGCGCTGTCCTTGTGGTCGTCCACGCCAACGTACAGCGGCTCCTTCTTCAGGGAGATCCGGGCCAGGTCTTCCACCCTGCGCGTCTGGGTGGCCGAGAACAGCATCGTCTGCCTCTTCTCTGCAGAGACAGGGCAAACGGGGTAAAACGGGGCAACCGGGGTATCTGGGGGTCAGAACGCGGCGGTGCAGTGGGACGTACTGGGCAGCAGCTTGATGATCTGCTTCAGCTCCTCCTCGAAGCCGACCTCCAGGATCCGATCGGCCTCATCGATGATCAGACACTGCAGGTTCTTAAACATGAAGCCCGGCGTGTTCTGGGAGGAGACAGAAGGTAAACTGGGAGGCAACCAAAAGCAGAACCAGTACATCCAAACGGAGCCTCTGGTGCAGAAACTAGCCTGCAGTTTCACCGTCTCACCTGCAGGTGGTCCAGCAGGCGGCCGGGCGTGGCCACCAGGATGTTGACACCGTTGGCGAGCCGCTGGGCCTCAGCGGAGCGGTTGCTGCCACCCATGATGAGGCCGAAGGTGTGGACGTCGTGCGCCATCAGCTCCTTCATCACGCCATACGTCTGCATGGCCAGCTCCCGCGTCGGAGACAGGATCACCACGCCGGTACCTGAGGGAGGGTTGAGTGGGCGGAGCCTCAGCATAGGGATGGAGAGCAAGGAGGCGAAGCCTCAGGAGGAGGACTCACCGTTCCTGGGCATGAACTTGAGCTTGTTGATGAGTTCGATGGACGGGATGAGGAAGGCCAACGTTTTCCCGCTGCCAGTTTTAGCAGCTGCCAGGATGTCTCTGAGGAGAAATGATGGGATGAGCTGATGATGTCATCATTAGGACCTGATGATGTCACCAGGAGGAAGCCTGCCACAGCAGTGCAGTTCACCTTCCCTCCAGCAGGGGCCGGATGGTTTTGTGCTGGATCTCGGTCATGTGCTCGAAGCCCATCTCCTTGATTGCCCTCAGGATGTGGTCGCCGACCAGGCCGGTGAGAGAGGCAAACGAGGTGTCCTCGAATGCGCCTGAACAGAAAGCAGCAGGTCAGCTTCATCCTGACGAAGACTACAGCTCTTGTTCTTCTGCTGCGAGTCAACGTCACCGCTGGAAGGCAGCGCCACCTGGTGGTGCCTTCAGCTTACCTGTCAGTCCTGTGGGTAGTTCAGGCTCCTCTTCCTCTACTGCTTCATCATTAATCTCTCCTCCATCCTCTTCCTCAGTCCTGATCTTCTTCTCAGCTGAAACTGAAACATCAAACCAGTAAACCCAGTGAAACCAGTAAACCCAGTGAAACCAGTAAACCCAGTGAAACCAGTAAACCCAGTGAAACCAGTCTGCTTCCTGGTGCTGACTCCACCTCCAGCTCCGCCTGCTAGCTTCCTCTTCTTCTTCTTCTTCTGTTTCTTCAGAGACGTTTCCTCTGCCTCCTCTTCCTCGGCCGGGTTCTGCTGGTTCTGCTCTGGTTCTGTTGGACCAGCAGCAGCCGGTTCCTCCCAGCCTTCCTCCTCCGGTCCGCTGGACCTCCCTGCACCAGAACCAGAACCGACAGGTTAGGATGGGTTCGTCCATCTGGGTAAAATCCATCATTAATGAAACTAATTAATATTTTCTAGTTTTATCTTTAAAACATCAACATGTAAATTAATAAAATGAGGCATAAAATTACAACAAAATCCTGCTGCTGATGATAATTTGATGCTGAAAGATTATTTCCTATTTTTTTATTTTTTATCATTTCCTTTATTTAACCAGGTGAACCCGTTGAGATCCAGATCTCATGTTGAACAGGGACCTGGTTACAAAATAAAACTAATTAATACATATGCACAAGTGTAAAACAGTTTATAAAACCAAAATTTAAATTCACAAGATGCTCAACATTACGTTGTTATTTTTTTATGGAATTATGATAAAATTCCTACATAATTCTACCAATATTACAACTTTACTCTCCAACTATTACAACTCTGGTAAGATTTTATTCTTATAACTTGTGGCGTTATTAACACTTTATTCTCGTAATGAAAGATAAATGTTTTCATAGCTTGGCTCTAATGCGCCGTCATAAAATATAAAGTACTTTAGCCAGAAACATTCAGCTCGTTATATTTAAAAATCAGCATTTTTTCAAAATATCAGTTTGTTCAAGGCAATCAGATTAGAGTTCACAGTTATGTTTGTAATAAAAATGTGCCTAAGCCGATCTCATGACGTATATGATCAATATTTATGTACATCAGTTTTGGTTCCCAGACTGAATAAACATTTTAAACTCCTGATTTAAACTGTAAACGGTTCAGATAAACTAACGGTCAGTGGTTTCCGTCATAAATAACCCCATCAGATTTAGATTCAGGACCAAGTTAATCTGAGATGCGGAGGATCATCCTGATGCCTGTGACAAGACGGCTCCGTTCTGTTGGGCCACAGTTTACTCTACAACACCTTATTCCGTCTCTGAGGGAACCAATAAAAACAGCATCCTGAAGAGTCCAGGAAGATCCTCCAACCTGGACCTAATGGGCCACCGGAACCCGCCCGCAGCCAGAATATTTCTGAATAAGACTAATAAACTGATTAAAACAGCTCGCTTTTAGCTTTATTCTGTAATCAGTCAGTTTAACGTAAGTTCTTATGATTCTCAGCCAGTTTTCGTGTCAGACCTGAACCTGTGGTTCTATCCCGGTCCCGGTTCGGTTCGGAGCCGTCAGTTGGTTCCGGATCACTCACCTGCCTCCTCTTCTTCCGACTGTCTTCTCTTCTGTTTCCTCTCCCGGT